GTGCCAATTTGTTTAACTCGGGGTTTAGTTTACCACTCGAACTTCCTAAAAAATGAGCTTCTTTTTCTTTCCTCTCCCGCTGCAGCCAGTCCAACAAACGACTTCTGTGACCTCACTGCACCGTAACAATCTTACATAATATTAGTATCCAGTTATCAAGTGAAACAGCAAATGTAAAAGACTATAGGGTTATTAATTTTGTGTGCAAGTAGCGTTGTCATTCCTTTATAAATTGTGCTGAAACACAAGACGCGCACAAGAGGAGCCTCCTTACGGTTATACAAGCAAAATATTACAACGTATGTTTTCCTATACACCGCTACAATATCTTACTGTGCATAAGAATTAAGAAGCATAAAAATAAGGTTTTGAAGAAAGTTAGTGGTTCCCTGAGAAGGTTTCTGTGATCGCCCAAGTATGGCGATAACTCCCTCTGCGGGCTCTAAGCATCCTCGAAATGCATAAATCATAACGATACGCGGCCGATTTCTTCATTAAAAAAGCGATCAAAGATCTAGGTCATCTCCGTTTATGGGATTGTCCCGGCAGCCAGGACGCCATGTGACCAATGAAATTGCGACATTTCGTTGAGATTGCAAACGCTGTTATTACAAAATATGTATGCTTTTGTAAATAATACAAAAACAAAAGTAATAATTTTTTTCCGCGGAAAGGGAACATAATACTGCAGTAATCGTACAAAAAAAAAAAGACAGTAAATATATTTTTTCCTTTTTAAGTTTTTCGCGGGAGTGACGTGTCCGGTCGTCAGAGCTCGAGTAGTCGTAGTATGCGTTGTAGTGAAAATTCGGGGGGAAAAGCGCGTGCTCGCTGGATTGAATGGTGGTCCGGGCTGTATGAACAACGAGCCGCGCGCAGTCGAGATGTCACTCCGCGGTTTCACCAGTCGGAGGTGCTAGGATTCCTTGCTCGCTAATTAATGACTGACTGCAGACTTGCGCTAGTTACTTGAAAAGTGTAATGAATTACAATTACAAATTACCGAGCCTCAAATGTAATAAATTACCGTTAGAATTTACTTTCGCTGAACAGCAACGGATTACTGTACTTGTTACATTACAAATTACTTTCACGTTACTTTTTCCGTATACACTTATCCAGAAAACAATAGAAACAATTTCGATATTTTTCAAAAATGTCCTGCAAAACTACTTTCCATTTCTCATACGCCCGTATTATGGTAGTTCGTGTAAAAATACAATAATGTATTTAAGAGAAAGAGTTTAGGTGCATTCCGTTCACCTGTAAGCTGACAAGGCACCGAAAGCTGCAACCACAACCGCCATCCCACCAGCCTACTGCGACCGGAAATGATAGCTGGAATTGTGCAGAGAACGCAAGCGGTCCGCATGCTCAGTAGCAGCGTCTACCTCCGCTGTGAGATTCGGAGCTAAAGAAGCGATCTACGAAAGCTCCCTTTAAACTTGGGTGTTTCACCTGTTATTCATAAGGAAAGAAACATACTTGGTTCTAACGTTACAACATATAGACAAAGCAGAATGCAGGTGTCCCAGCTTACCTTGATGCGTTTCCGTAGATTAGAGTTTGTCGTTCTTGCTGCTGACAATGTGTGTGTGTGTGTTTTTTGGCAAGCAATGTAGGCGCTGAAACTCTTGGTTTCCGTTCTCCTTATTACCCTGGATTTTGAACATCTCATTAAAAGATGACCGTTACCGAAAACTCGTCCAGTCAGAGAAAAAGTGGCGGTTACGGGTTATCGATCGTTCATCGGTTCCCACTTTCATACCAATATTCGTTCAAGGCTTCGGGAGGGGAGGACATTGAGAGCGAGACAAGCGGTGGCCATCGGTCTCACAAAAGAATAAAGGATCACACCCTTGTACGTGTTTTTTTTATAGATGGCCTAACCCCCCCCCCCCCCCCCCAAACATAAAAGAAGGGGGGGGGGGGGGCTTCTTTTATGTTGACAGTTTACTCTATGAATTGAGGAGTGGACTCGACCACCATGCCCAGACAAGTAAACCAAAAGAAGTATCGTCCGTACCCTCGAAGACGACGCTCTTAGCCTCGCGCCAAGTGCTTTTCAGCCGTGCCTCAAAAGCGTGCTAGAATACAGTAGTGCACATCAAAGACAAAGAAAATCCGACCCCCTCGCTCGAGGTTACATCGTCTGTTACGCGAGTTGTGAACCCGCGAATCGAGAAGGTACGGACCCGCATTTGATGTCTGTGCAGGTGGCGGGAGGCGCCGAAGAAGTTGGAAAGGGTGAAACGGTGTAAAAGATATACAAAAACAAATAAACACGAAGAGCTTTCTCCTGCCCAAGAGAAGAAGGAAAACACGATGGAAGGCGACGGAGAGCCTACTCGACGTTGCATTACTTGATCTTTGTCTTTCGTATATTTGTACATGCCTTACCCGTTTTCCTAGTGGTTCTAGTGACCGGTAATACAAAACATCCTGTTTTCTTTTCGGCTATTCTCCCTGTTAAGTAGCGAAGGATTTTGTTTGTAATAAGTAAGATTTGCTTTAGAAAAGCTTATCTTTCTATAGCTACATCGGCATTGTTTTTTTGTCGGCTTATGTTTATGTCGGCATTTTTGAGCGTTTGCTCGCAGACCCGCGGCAGGGTGTACTCTAGCGGGAGCGCATGAGCGGGACGTCGCCTTCCTCCCCCACACGCGGGGGGCTTCGAGCAGCCGAGGGGCTCGGTGGAGATGAGTCGGACCCCGGTCGTTAACAAACGGATTGGGTTTCAGTTCGGGGTGCCTGAACACCCGTGTTTTGAGCAGCGGTACTTCTGTCCGCACTTGTCGATTTTAAGCGGGTGTGCTTGTGTCCGGTGTATTTCACCGTTTAGTGTAGAAACTTCGCTTTTAATCGGCGCAATAACTTAACTGGGTGGCGCCAGCCAGGCGGCGAGGAAAGCATGTAGTGACTGTATACAAGGAATTAGGTTTTGACCGTTGAGGTGTCGGAGGGGGATCACGTTGACAGCTCGCTGATCAATGGGTAAGAGTGTACCACGTGAGAAGGGGCAAATTTGAAGTGATTGGTTCGTTTCTGGAGGGAAAGCTAGGAGGCCCCTATGAGTCTAAAAAAGGGGTGCCGAGGGGATTCTCAGGGGATTCGGCTTTTGAGATCAGGGAGATTCGACTCTTGAGACTGGGAACTAAAGTATGGTTTTAATTTTGGGAGTTTTGTATTGTAAATTACTGTTGACTTGTTGATGTTTCGTTTTGAAATAAACGTGGCCATACTGGCCATCGTACACCAACCAACGTCGAAATGTGTCCAGCGGGATCGAACAACTTTCAGTTGTTTTTTTTCTTGTTCGACTTCCCGGGGGACTTCCATCGGGCGAACACCATCATCGGTTGTCACCATCCTGGCCGGCCCCCTCCCTGCGAAAAGTTGACTCTCTCCTTCCTGATGCTTTTTAATTTCCTTGACCTTGCTCTCTTTATGCTGCTGAATGTTCTGCTCGTATTGCTACGGTTACTTTATTACGCTCATATCTTTAAAAAAGTAACGAGTAATTAAAGTAATCCGTTACCAATATTTTGTAACGAAATTACATTACAAATTACTTCTGAAAAAAAGTAACGCGACAATTACAAAAAATTACTTAAAAAAGTAACGGATTACTTTTCAAGTCTGACCGACAGTGGTCCTTGTTTTGGAATATGCCTCTCTCAGCGCCGGAGATGACCTCGGTGTGTTGCGATCTTTGGTTGCTTTTTTTAACAGGGAAAGCAGCCGCGTATCGTCGTGATTTATGAATTTCAAAGATGCCGAGATCCAGCAGAGTTAGGTATCGCCATTTTTAGGCGATCTCAAAAACCTCTTCAGGGCACCTTAAAAAAAAAGTTTAGTGGATTTTTAATTTTTTTTTTGTTTCAATGCACCGAGCGTGCTTTATCTCTCATATACAATATTAATATTATAACCAATGGGACTGAATAGCTAGTAGACATTGGAATTATTTAAAAATTCGAAATAGGTGACATTGAAGGGCCTGCGAAACGTTGCCAGATATCTTCGGTAGGACACAGTTGAGTCTTAAAACATAATATACATAATAAATTTAGTTAATAACCCGGCGAACCGTATATCCTAAGGGGGTTCCGAAAAGCGTATTTGCGGTGCCAAACACACGCGAACCCCGATATGGGAAAGATGCATTACAGTATTCGCTTCGACCTCTTCAATTATCAACACCAAGGAAACAGAAAATCCGACGAACTAGAAGTTTGCGCCTCATCTCGCTTTAGAAATACCTAAAAAACACAAACGTTTTTATCAAAATATGATATTTGACCTCAAAACTGTATTACAATTTACATAAAAACACCCCTAATCTTTTTTAGTAACGACCAACTGTCAACTTCGCTCCAGGACAAAAAGAAAAGCAATTTTATTGGGCATAGAAGCTCAGACGTTGTTTAAATAAAGCAAATAGAAATCAATCGCGTTACTTTTCTCAATTTTACTTTAATAATATTGATACCGGTCAATGGAAATGTACTCCATGCGACAGTACTTTTCAGTACGAGGAACACTCGAAAACATAACTTAATTTAGCATTTTTTTCCTCCTGCACCCTTTGCATATATTAGCGATTTACGCCCGCCTTAACCACTAGAATTAATAGCGTCACTAAGCAATTCAAAACAAGATAAAAATTGTAACAAAAAAAATAAGTTAGCCAGTTGCGAACCAGTTGCAAATGTTTCCTGTAGGAAATTTTTGCAACTGCGTTCTATAGAACGCAATTGCAAGCGTTCTATAGAACGTTTGAACGTCTGTAGAACGTTTGCAAAAAAGCGTTCTATAGAACGCTTTGTTTTTTTCCTACTGATATTGCCTCATATTTCTGATTCGCGACTTCTTGCGGGGATCCCTTAATGAATTATAGATCAAAGAGAAACCGGTTGTGACAGTATCATCCGTTCCGTATGCACCGTTTTCCCCATCGCAAATGTACTTTTAGAAACGCCCGTGAAGACGATCTGACGATGCTGGAGAATTTCGCTGTCCGCCACGGAGCTCGGAAGTTGATGCTATCCTCTTCGTGGCTGTCCATTAACGCCCTCCCGAAGCTCAAAACGGCGCTGGTGAAGGCGGAGGGCTCCTTCGGACTCTCGGGTAATTTCACTGCTGAGATGTTCAACCTCCACGTGGGCGGTTTCACTGATCTCATCTCTAAGGTGCGTGGATCTGGTCATCCAATCGTCAGCACTATAAAGTAAGTGCACCTTACTCCTTCCTCTACCTCATGCCCAAACCCGTTCTGCTGTAGTCACTGACAGGATGAGGACGGTACATGGATGTCTTTCTGTTTGTCCCACCTTCAGACGTTCGATAGCACTTGGACGTTTTGTTTGCCACGAGCCGAAGCACGACGGAAGGCAGAGAGCGCTAGCTGAATGCTATGCATCCAAGTTGAGACGCCCCCCCCCCCCCCCCCCCCCCCCCATTATCATCTTGCCAGTGACTATAGCAGCTATCGAATGAGAGTATCTGGTAGTTTACTGCGTCGGTCATTCTTCGTTGGCATATTTGCTCGAGGTTCGATCCCCGTTTAGCCGCAGTCATGCTGCTGGTATATCCTCCAAGTGTTCCCCACAGACATGATGACAGAATTATTTTGCGAACGCTCCTCGAGCACCTTTGAAGCAGTGTTGTGCCCATTACCAAAAATAAGTAACGAAATAGCGTTACTTGTTACTTTAGAAAAAAGCTAACGCGTTACAGAGCTTCGTTATCATTTTGCAAATACAACGGAATACCGGTGTCGTTACTTGCCATGGCTAACGGACATTAATTTTACGTTACTTTGTCGTTACTTTGTGTTTCACTCTTAGTATATGACACCTGTTAGTGTATGGCTGTTAGTGTTTGACTGTATAGCGTCTCAACCACAAACGCCGCCACAAGATTGTCGAACCGTTCTTGAGAAACTGGAACTTGGTGCATGCGGTCGATGTTCATCTAGTTCAACAAGGGCGCGTCGGGAAAGTGGGTTGTAGTCTCCATCTTTCGTTTCTTTGAAAGCCCCTCGAACTCTGATAGCTTCTGCGAATGGAGGAAGTGGCGGAAAATAAGAAACAAATTAGGACTGATGCGAAGCACCGCTGTTAATTTTTAGTTACCAGTGGTAGGACAGAAAAAACTGTCCATATAAATCGCAAATTTAAAGAAATATTAAATAGGCGTGTTTATATATAGCTGCCGTGATTTATTTACCTTCCCTCTGAAATATACAAGTAAGCCGTTTTCCAAGTATTTTCGCTACCTTACATTAATGACCACTGGGAGATATGTATCTGAAAAACTTCAGGCGGTTTGGCCTTGCTGCTGCCCGCAGGGAGGTACGACACCCGGAATCCAGTTCAACAAGACAAGCGTTTATTACCTTTCGGGTTCCCAGCGGCGCAGGGCAGAGTTGGCCTGATGTGCGGTGCTTTCACGCCCCCCTCCCGCTTGAGCGCGCGAGTGCCCCCACACTTTCCTCCCTTCTGGGTGCGCGCGTACTAGGCGTCGTCGTCTTCAAAGATGACGTCTTCCGACTCTCGGAAAAGGTGCGGGCGCATTCGGCGGAGTAAGTTCAGTGCCGTATCCAGGTCCGCGTCCTGCGGCACGTGGGCGGCTGGTGCCTGCTGCGCGCCGACCCCTCGGGCGGCTCGTGCACGCTCGCGGTGGAGCAGGCCGGCCCGATGTGTGGGCCAGTGAATTTCTGGTACCCCCGCAGACTTCGCAGAGCAGGGCCCTTTCTTCCGGGGCAGAGTGTGCCCGGGGCTCCGTGGGGTGCCGGTCGGTGATGGTCAGGCGTCGAAAGGGTTCCGGGACTTCCCGGGCTGGTGTTCCTATCGGGACCTGGGGCTGGTCATCCCATGCAAGTCGCGACCACCAGCCAACGGCGGACCCGTCCGGGGTCCGCCGTTGGATTCCGGGTGTCGTACCTCCCTACGGGCAGCAGCAAGGCCAAACCGCTGCATCGGGCCTCACGTTGGGCGCCAGATGCAACGGTTCGGCCTTGCTGCTGCCCGTAGGGAGGTACGACACCCGGAATTCAGTTTAACAAGACAAGCGTTTATCACCTTTCGGGTTCACAGCGGCGACTGCCGCTGGGCAGAGTTGGCCTGACTCTTAAGGTACATTTATACTCCAACGTAACGTCGACGGGCGCGGCGTCGCGCACCGCGCGCAGATACTGATTGGTCGCAAATATTGAGTTCCTGGTTCGCGGCGAATAAAAGGCGCGCGTTCTGCGCTACGCTCCGTTCACTGCGCTCAACGTTGGAGTATAAACAGCCCTTTATAGCGGGATGTGCGGTGCTTTCACGCCCCCCTCCCGCTTGAGCGCGCGAGCGCCCCCAACAAACTATGCGAGTAACAAAATGATCTCCAAAGAAAGGTGCGTTCTTTTGCCTAACAAAACTTAACCCCAACAATTTTACGTAAAAAAAAAAATAAGTGCCATTGAAGAATAACTTACTTTAATCTCCCCGCTGCTCTCCGTACGTTGGGGCTCCACCGCCACCATGGTACTACACTACAATTACTACCAACAAGCCTGCTACCGTTCGCACGCATCCGTCCGGCTCCGCGCCACCACGAGTAGAGCAGGTCGCGGCCCCGAGCTCGGATGAGTTCGCGATATATGTCTACACCGACGGAGCAACGTGCCAACATGGCATCGCTACCGCAGTGCATTGTCCATCTCATCCTTCCATTGACACATCGGCATTCTACGCCACACAGTTGGACGATCCGCTTATCGCCGAGTTATACGCGATTCGAGACGCCATACAAGCACTAACGCGGATGCCCGATGTCACTCGAGTACGCGTTCACACGGATTGTGCCTCTGCCATCCGACATCTCAAGTCAACTCGATCTTTACTACATATTTGCCATGAGATTCATGCCCTAAATCGTACATCTGCTAAAGAAGTCCGGATTCTCTGGACCCCTGGGCACCAGCACGGTACTCACCAGGACAAAGCCCATCAAATCGCTCGAGCCCTGATTGAACATCCCCCCCCTGATCCCACCCCCATTCCGGATGAGCCGGAGGCCTCACTCGTCGTGGGCAAGGCCCGTATAAGGGTCGCTACGCGTGCACTCATTCCCGCGTGCCCACATCCTCTCCCGGCGGGCCTGCCCCGGCGGGAGGAGGTCCTCCTCGCAAGGATCCGGACGGACTCCGCAGTCACCCCAGCAGTCTTGGCCTCCTGGGGCCGAGGCCCCGATGATGCCAGCCCGGCGTGCCCCTACTGCTCTGCCAGGGCGTCCGCAGTTGGACTCCGACACCTTCTCTGGAACTGCCCAAATCTTCAGCACCGCCTCCTTCCCCTGACTCAGGCACGAGACCTCAACCTAGCATCCCCTGAGGACTACTACAAATGGATTAGAGTGAACGCGCATGCCGGAGCCCTTTTGGGCTTTATACGGGATGCACACATAGCGCACCTAATCTAAACTCTCAAGCTTTGCTTGTTGCACGAATAAAAAAAAAAAAAAAATGTGCTTTTTCATATTAGAGTTCGACGTCCCTGGTGTGCTTAGCAGCATGAGGCCTGGTTCAGACAACTGCGTTTGACTGCGTTTGACTGCGTTGCGGCTGCGAGGAACCAGGACATCCCCACTGCTTATATCACGTGCAGAGAGGATTCCTTGAATTGGAATCCACGCTTCACACGAAGCACTGATGTGCCGGTGGCTCGCTTTCGGTTCTCGACGCAACGCACTCAAACGCAGTCAAACGCAAGTGTCTGAACCGGCCTTCAGTTTCGGCATACAGACTAGACATGCAAACAGCAAATTGTTTGACTTCGTTTACCTCAGTTCAAGCATAGCACTTAGCCCGGGCCATGGTAACGGAGTTTCGGTGGCTGTTGCCATCTTGCACGAAAAGTGAGTGCGAGATGGCAGTAAAAAGGGCATTTATCACAAGCATTTTCAAACGGCCTTGTTGAAGAGGCAGACGTTCCATGACAGAGAAAACTGTTTTGTACGGGGACTGCTCACAAACAACGCACCTCATAACCACGCCGGTTTTAGTAACGGTCCGGTTTAGGCTACACAAGCAACAAAAAGAGGACACCGATCGCTTATTATGACCAATAATTATAACCAAGATGATTATGGGTGATTATAAACGAAGTATAGCGCCGCCCATACTTTGGTTATAATCACATGCGTACTCGTAGTATCTTTACGTGTGTAAATGACCAAATAAGTGGCGAGCGTTTATAAGCTCTTTTACCTGAGTTTCTCTTTCACGGCCAAACACCTTTTTCTTTTTTTTCACGCCGGCAGCAGCAGAAAAGTAAGGGCTAAGCAGACGAAAGCCATCACTATCACTGCTACGAATGTGTCTCTCTGGGTGAAGTAGCCTTCGCACACACAACCAGGAACTGTGATAAGGAAAAGGCGGGCGCAGCGTCCAGCAATAGTAATTCGTTCTTTGAATGCCAAAGAGTTGGAGGTATGCTTTCTAGTGGAAGACTACGGTATTTTTGTGTGGCGAACTGCGACACAAAGAAGGTGCCGTCCGTGGTGGTGGTGCAGTATTTCGTAAAATCTTTGAGACGCTATGGGAGAAAGGATGCCCAGAAGATTTGGTGAGAGGGGACCTTCTGAACGGGAGTCGTTCTCCAGCGAGAGACCGCACCTTTGTACCATGGCGGCAGGGATTCGAAAAGATGGTGAAGTCTTTCAGGTGACAGTCGCCGTTCAATGCTGCGATAACCTTGCCACTTGTTTTGATCCAAAGCGTGGGAACGTCAACGCTTCCAAACTTATAGTTTATCCTTCCTGTTGTGGACAGAACGATAATTTATTTGTTTTGGAGAGAAGGATGTGACCAGCCTAAGGACGCTAAGGCAAAATCCTTTGACCGGCGGCAGACTGTAGCCATTTGAACGGATGTCTCTTTCCAGAGAGACGGCTAGCTGCTCCTTCATGGTACGGCGAAGGTGATTTTAGCAGCGTCTCTACAAAGGCTGCACCAAGGACGCTTAGTGATTCCGCGCGGCGATAATCGCACGCTTTTTGGGCCCGGTCGTGGGAACTCTTCCGAAGGTGTTTGAAATGACGCCGTTTATACATAGCTTTGTTGTACAGAATAAAAATTATTTTGTTTTCAAAAAATCCTGCGGCCATTTTTAATCAAAAGTAACGAGTAACGGGTAACGCAATTTGATAGGAGATACTGTAAAATAATAACGACATTACTTTACTCGTTAATCTCTAGAAATCTTATATGTATGAAGAATTTCTTGGTCCACTAAATGCATATGATCAAATAAGTTAATATAGCAGTGTATAACAACCTTATAAGAACATATAAGAACAATATTATATTATATAAGAAGTTATAAGAAACTTCTTATCAGTTTCTTTGTAACTTTTTATATAATATAATATTTTTCTTATTTGATCTGATTTGATCGTATGCGTTTATTGGACAGATAAATTGCTCATACAAATAAGATTTTCACTAGGGTACCCAAGCCTAGTCAACTATTAGGTTGCTCTGGGGGATTACGTTTACATATATTTTTGATATCAAATAAGTGAACAATATCCGGTATCGGTTACAAAATGCGGCGGTTAAACTACCGCAATCCAAATAAAAAGCGTTAACACATCGTAGACGAGTCTTTAAAAAAATAATGAAGTTGCACTGACACTATTAGAGAATGATGAAAAGTGAAGAACGCGTATTATTGCGATGATGATATAGAGGAGATGTACCATATGACGAATCCAATGGAGAAGTATCCACGTACCCCAATTTCTGGATCTGTGCGTGCATTCTGTTTGGTTCTTAATTATCCAGGTACCAATCTGGAGGCATCTCAGTTATAGTCACTTACTCCCATTTTGGTTCGTAACAAGAATAGCTAAAAGAAACACATATTTATCTGCATTTTTACAAGATTAAACGAAAATCTCGTTTGAAATCCCAACAAAAGATTAAACAGTCTTGGGACCAGTACCGTGATACAAATGTATCGCGATAGTATTTCTGAAATACAATACGTATTTATACTTCTGTATTGCGATACAATTTTCCAAATGTATTTTGTATTTCTTTATTGAAATACATTTTCGGGTGCATTCTTGGTATCGCGATACTATTAGAGCCAACGTATTTTGTTAAAATTTTAAAACAGTTGTCGAGCTCCACTTTAATCCTTGAGGGGTGTTTTGTGTCTTTGACGGCACATGACTCCCTTCTTTATTGTGCAAAAGTTGACAGATGTTTACTCAGACTTTGGGTGGTCGACCAGTTGATTCCAAGAGTTGAAGGCTAACAAAGGATACGGGCTCCTTATAATTTATTATACGGTGACGTTATAAGGAAACTGCTGAAAGAGGTGTCGGGGTCGGGCACAATCATAGTGACTTCTCGAGGATATATGGGAGGACACAAAACTCATTTAGATGTTCCTGGGATTTTGTCTCAAAACAATAATGCCGAAATAAAACCACGCTCGAGCCACGGTGAAATAATCGCTTCTTCCCTTACTACTTTCCGAAATATCAGATGTTAATTCTGCGGAAAATTTTATTCGAGCTTAATTCAGGTTCCAACATACAGTGAGAACTCGCTTGCTGGTCTAAAAACAAAACCTCGTGATCTATAGCGCGCTTTTTTTTTTCTTCGTACGATGTAAAGGGTGCTCCAAAACATCCAAAATAATGTTTTCATAACAATGTATCTCCGTGCCTGCATTTCAGCCCCACCAAAATCTGTTATTGTATTTGTATTTTCAAATGCTCTTTTTGTTTTTCAATCGTACTTCTGATACATATCGCGATATATTTTATAAATGTATTTCAGTATCAGGATTTTAGGTCATTTGCCATGTATCCCAATATTTGTATTTCCAAATACTTTTGAGAATATTTCTGCCAAACCTTCCTTGGGACTAAAGTAAAATTGCAAGCGAGCTGGTTCAGTACTTACGTACGATAACCCATGAGCGAAAGGAAAACGGGACGGACAACACAAAGCTCCACAAGAAGTTTTGTGTTGTCCGTTTTTTTTTCTCCCGCTCCTGGGTTATCATTTGAAGGCTGACTTGGGGTTGAAAGTCCATAAAAGAAAGACCATGATTTATTATGTTCCTTCATTACAGTGCTCTCATGGCCCAGAGCCCATTACAGAGGTGAGTACTTCAATAAAAAAAAAACAGACATAAATAAAATAATGTCGCTTGACCTTCCCGCAAAAATAAATAGGTTAAGCTCATTTTTCTGGACAAACCGATTTAGTTCTCCTTGCAGTTGGTCTCATTGTGACGATTTCCTGAGAATGAAAATATCGCTACACGCTGAGGTCCGACAACAAGAGAGGCCAACTTTGAGCCAATAACTGATGCGTGAAAAGATGAAAAATGGGATAATGATTAGTTCTTTTTATGTAAGGTTGGTATAAACCAACCGTACATTAAAAAAATACTCATTATCCCATATTATGGTATATTAAAAGAAAACATAAGAAATGAACAGGTGTTTGATCATTCGTGAGAAGCTCTTTACTGTCCGAGGCAAGAAGTGGGAGTTTTGAGGAGAAACACATATTGGGCTACTTTTTAAGAGATAGACAGGTATGTGCCGCATGCTATTGTGATAGCGAGACGCTAAAACTTGTGGCTTTGAAGTACACGGGACTTCGTCCTTCTCTTCCTGAAGGGGTAAAGGATTTTTCGAGAGTGCTAGGTTTTTCTGGCGAGGGTGAGAGAACGGAGAAAAAAAAAAGTTTTACAATCGCTAAAATAAGGTTTGAAGAAGGGCGGAGAAGGTCTAGAGAAACGTGAGAATACACAAAATTGGTGTTGTAGATGATTTAGCGAGATACAAAATTTATAGCAAAATTTAAAGCGGAGGGGGCGTAAATGTTTCTAGGCTAGGTGGCACAAGCTAACGATCGATTCAAAGGGCATAGCCCATACCATCCATGCATTCACCCATCCTATGATGGAAGACATACGCTCGCTAGAGGCGCTATGGTCGTCTTCACAATGCCTCGCAAGAAAAAAAAAATGAAAGACGTTTACTATTCTCTGTAATGTCAAATTAGAGCTTAAATCTTGAGGAGGGGGGGAAGGTACAGGAGGGAGGGCCTCCTTCTCCCCTTCTCCCCTCCCATTTAGCGGGAAATTTACCAACATTTTTAAGCTAAATTTAACTGGAAATTTAGCGAAAATTCCCTCTCTAAATTTAGCGGGGAAACTGAATTGGTGTTAGGGTCACGTGACGTCAACTTTCCCGATAAATTTAGCGGGGAAATTTTTCCGCTAAATTTAGCGGAAAAGTTTTTCTACTCAGTTTCACGTGACGTTCCATTCATTCATGTGACGTCACGAGGGTAAAATTTTCCCATTAAATTAAGGGGAACATTTTTCCCGCTAAATTTAGCGGAAAAAGTTTCCTGCCAAATTTAGAGGAACATTTTCCCGGGTACAGTGGCGTCACGTGTGACGTCACGTGACGTCACACGTGACGGTATGTCTGACGTCATTGTGGAAAACATCCCATAATGCAACGCGCGGTTAAGCCGACGGCGACGGCGACGCCGCTCAACTACACCGTAGCTCAGCCCGAAAACCGGCGCCAGCTGCGCTCTAAAAAGAACGGGCTTAGGATGGCATCGCTGAACAGAAACGGCGGCCTACGGAGGCTCAACATGTTCGTCGTGCCAATTAATACCCCTGAATAAAAAAGGTAGCGACATCATCCCCCTCCTCCTCTGACGCGCACACCTTTTATCTTTATGTTTTGCTTTTTTAAACCCGTCGACTGTAGCGCCGCCTGTGTCGTCCAAGTTAGCAGACGGTCTTCCTATACTTGAGTCAGAGCGCAGTCAAAGGCTGAAAGACACGCAAATACATACACACAGGCTAAAAGCGCACTGTCACAGTCTACCAGCCTCGAAGTATGTGCTCAGAGAAAAACTATGAAAGCCTTGACGTTGCACAGTCGGCGTTATTTGATTGGCGACATGAGCTCATAGCATGCACTGCACTCCGACAGCATAGGCATTCCTTCTCCCTCCTCGTCCGTCATGCACATTTTGTATTATATTTTGCTCGTTCGGGCTCGCGCATCGACGGTAGCGCCGCCTGGATCGGCCCAAGATAGCAGGCGGCATTCTTCAAAAGCTGTCGCTACTTTTTCGTGGAGAGGGGTTTTAGTGCCAATGAGACGCTGGAAAAGAAAGAACAGCGTATAACTGAAGGGCTGCCGACCCGAGAGAAATTTTTCAGATTAAGGTAATATTCAGGTCTATGGTGAAAAAATAAATCTTGTTAGTTTGAGGGACATTTTGGACACCGGATATATATATGGAAATTTATAGGTCAATTAGAATTTTTGTTCCGAGATAACATTGCATTTCAGTGGCTTTGGCTACATTTGGGTTATTCACTCCATCCGTTTGGCGGTTTGTTGCGCGACCGTCTGGCAGCAAGCACTGAGCAGAACTCGGAGAACCTTATTCGGAAAATCAGTTTTCATCGCCGCCGTGAAAAATATGGAGGAAGGGACTAGTCAACTCGAAGTTTCTGAGAGCGGTGCTGTGCCTTCTCGGAAAAGAAAGCTTGGGGGCAACAAGAAATACTGCGGTGTCTGGAGATACAGACACCATGCAAGATATATATTTACCATGGCTAATAATATTTCGGGAAGTGCCGTGCACAAAATGGTGCCTACTGTGTGTCGTGTTCCATGTGTTCGAGTTTGAGTACTCTAGCTTGTGTTACACCTTTTGTTTTGGACTGACTAGTATTAAAAGCGCTAAAGACCTTATTAAAGCAGTACCATATTCTGATGGCGTGCATAAAATCTAAGGCGATGATAGGGTTTCATTCGTCAGTTTGAATCTCCCGGTAACACTTCGCCTCGCCAGATTTGCTTTGAGCACCCTTTTGACCCGATAAACTTATTTTTGCGAAACGTCCGCGAGGCGAAAAGGTTACATAATATATCTCTCATCGCAAAAAATAGAAGTGATGCAGAAAACAACGTATGTTTAGTATTATATAATTATTTGGGCAAGCGAGGTAAATTTCAGCAGAAATAGGGAAATTTCAGGCGTGTGCAAGGGAAATTCCGACTTTACGTGTTGGCAGCCCTGATCGTATGGCTAGGGACAAAGAAGCAAAGTGGGCTTGTTCGGGTACGTCCAAAGGCTGTGCGGTTCGTCAGAATTTAATCAGTGGAATATGGCCTTCATAGAAAGCCATATTCCTTTTCTCCTTTTCTTGTGTTTGCAATTAATAACTCAATTAGAGAGCGACGCAGTTGGTTCTGTCGGAATATTTTTGTTTTCCTTTTTTCCTATTTTATATTGTTAAACATACTTGTCTGAATCTTAGTCTTCCTGTTTTCCTTTCTTCTTCCTTTCATCGTATTTGTCTTAACATTTTATTTTATATGTTGCGCTTTATAGGGATGCGCTTTCTGAGCATGTGACCGGCTACAAAACAACCGGCACGCTGGTGAGTCTGTTCAGCCAATTGAAACGGACAGGGTCCGTGCGCACCGGAGAATCCAAGTCGGCAAGAGCGAACCACGAGCGCGTCGTGAAAGTCGCCGAGATGCAGCACGTGATGCAGCTGCTTCATTATTCGGTGATGGATACGGGAGAACACAACGACGAAGCCAAGAAGAAGAACTGGGAACTCGGAGACAAGCTGGCCATTCTCCTTGGAGACTTTTTCTGGGCGCTCGCCTTTAAGGAGATTGCAGATACCCAGGACACAACTGCAAGTACACACTTAGCAAAGTACACAACACTCGCCATTATGGCACGAAAAGATAGCGCACTAGCACGCATAACGGCCACACGTATTTATCATTAAGGAGATCGCAGATACCCAGGACTCCATTGCAAGTACTCATTTAGCAAAATACACACCACTCGCGCAATCATGGCACGCAAGTATCATATCCGCCACACGTTTGTATTGCGTAATCTCTAATTGCGTCCGTTCTTATCATTTCTATGGGAATGTGTAAAATTAGTTCAACGCACTATTGTTTAGAGACTTTACAATGGAAGTTCAATTACCATAAATCCTATTCATTGAGTTTGAAGCAGTCAGTTCCAGAATATGGGAAAATTGTTCATTTCATTATACCTGATACGGATACGGTGGTCGATAGCTTTATCCTGAAGGAATAATTTATTTTCTTGGGTGGTTCTTTCTTTTTTATTTTCAATTCTGTGAATCACCCCGTAGATTTGAGGCATGGAAAATATCTTGGACTACAGTATGTTTCTCCGAAAAGTTCGGCTAAAAAAGAAACGCTTTTCCTCAGACAGTGTGCACTCAGTTTATTTATTTATTTATTTCAATACACTCAGGGCCCATAGGGCATTACAGAGGGGGAGGGGCATATAAGAATTCACTAAAAAGAAAATACAAACGCAAAAGGCAGTGATTAAAACACAATCAATTCGACAAAATATTAACAAAAGTGATTAGTAAGCGCTTCTTTAAATAGATCAAGTGATGGGATAGCTGCTAAAGATGCTTGAAGGTTGTGCAGCCAGTGAATAGTCTGCATCTGGTGCATACTCCGATCTTGGTTCATATTCCGTACCTGGTACACATTTGGCACGTAAGAGGACTCCCTTACACAACATTTTGAAAAACTCCCACTTTGTTAGTGAACGAAGCAGCTCGTATCACAGAGCAATCGTCATTAACATAATTTGTCGGTCACAAAATTTGTCATGTCCCGTCATAATGAGTGATGCAAAGAAGCAAACCTTTATATAGTCTGCAGATGTACATAGCCTTGACCGCGTAATATTTTAGGTTTTAAACATGTATAGTCTGCTGACCATAGACCGGAAAATACGTAATACCTTTAATGTATTATTTCGTTACAAATATTGTAAATGTTACTGTAATTCAATTGTTTTGCCTTTTGACAAAAAAAAAACACACACACACACACACACAATGGCAACATGCCTTTTTCACCCTCTGCAACAAATAATTAGTAACAACAGCCTCGAGCACAATAAAAAAAAAAGACACAAAGCTACATGTGGGAAGTGACAATCCAAATGGATTCAGCACGCACAATAGACCCCTTTCACTGAAAGTCCATCAAGCAACATTGGTGGTCGCCATTGCTTTGACAAGAAGCGCGTGATTGGATCCGAGTCCTCCCCGAACACTGACGCAGCTTTCGTGGTCGATACGAGCCGAGCTGAGTTCACGCCGAACACTGACGGAACCCTCGTGTCCAATACACGCTCGAAGTGCCTGCCCGAGCAACGGAGGACAGGCAATGGACCTGACTTTTGAAAATAGTCTATTTTCCGCCGAACCGTACGCTCTCAGAGTCACCGATTCACTCTGACTACCCCTTCAGTACTGAAAGAGAAAATAACATTTGTTAGTCTGACATGATTGCATCCGAACTCAGCACGCCAATTTGGATTGTTTGGTAAGCGTGCGTGAGGAATACTATTTATTTATTTACCCGGAATGATGGCGTTGGAGTTTGCTGATGGTGAATTTATACCGAAGCTTGTATATTTCCAAAACTTCAGGTACTTTCGACTTTTGCCAGGGGTATTGAATCTTTCGCCGCCAGCAGTTTTGAAGAAATTCCACACTGTGTGAGCGCCGAGTGGTGGAAGGACTTCACTCCGCGGCAATGTTCCTGGTTTGCAAGTGCATTCGAATGCTCCCTCCTGGTGGCTGGTGTTGAATGTCCCAAGGAACTTGCTGAAGCTCGGAAATGTGGTACGAACCTTGTTTTAGCAATGCAGGTAAGTCTTCTCTGCTATCGTGTACCGTTGGAATACTGGGTGTGGGGAGGTAAACAAAAACAAGTAATGGCCGATCTTCCGCGGGGAGTATGTTTCCTCCGGTTGCCTATTGTTTTTGCTCATTTTGAGGTCCATCAGTGAGCGTCGCATACTTTAAAAGTCTCGCCGCCGAGGGCTAACTGCGGTACGTCTCGAAATATACTTATACGGAATCGACATGCCTTCCTGATCCCTTGGGTGGGAAAAAAGAACACTTGTACATCATATAAATCATAAAATCTGCACAAAGTGTCAAGGGCGCATCTTCAGGACTGCCTATTTAATTAGCCTGGTGCAGCCTGAGAGCGACTCAATTAAGACCGACAACTTCCTAAACGTGTTCGACTACTCCGTGAACGTCAAGGCACCGGGGTTGGGCACCCACCTCCCCCAGGCGCCGAAGATAGGCGCCAAGCTTCCCCGCAGGGATCACCGAGCCTGGTCTTGGTTTTAGCAGAAAATCTTCCGAAAGGTTTTATAACGCTGCCTATAGCGTGGCGAAAGTCTCTGTAATGCCTATATATTTTGCTATATTTCATAGTCACTTAACATATTGTATTGAGGCCTGGGGCGTAACTTATGACACTTACCTTTTGCCATTGATCAAATTACAGAAGAGAGCCCTCAGAATCTTGGCATACTCCCACTATTCCCAACCGCCACGTATCATATTTCATCGACTTCACATTTTCACATTTCTGGAAATTAAACAATATAAGATTGCTTGCATAATAAATAATATGCTAAAAACAAACTATCCACTGCCAGCGAACATCTTAATTAGGGCCTGGTACTCGATTAACATACCACGGTCTCGTAACGTATACGGCGAGCGACTGAAGCAATCATGCGGAACTAAAATCTGGAACACTTTACCATCTCCAGTCACCAATTCGTGCAGCTTTAACAGCGCTTTAAAATACTGTATTTTTCTTAATAGAACATGTCTCCCGTCATCCTGAAACTCAATCGCATATTCTCTTATTGAATTCATAATCATTTATTTAACTTTGAATACACTCGTGCTTCTTATGCGTGTCGTTACTATACAATGCATAAATTACCTGCTGTAGTTAAACAAGTCACTTTCTACGTTTATTTTCTATTGCCTTTCTTTTTTTTTACTTCCTTTCTTTTCCTTTTATTGTATTTCCAGTAATATATCTTAAGAGTGCTGCCTTCCTAATATGGTATTAAAATGGGCCCAAACTAGCCAAAAGGCTATGGGCCCAGATGGTTCTCAATAATTTGTATGCTGCAACTCATGACAATAAACTCGATTGATTGATGATTGATTGAATACTAAATTCTGGGGGTTTGCCCTTCTTGCTTTGGTATTCAAGGTTCCTTTCCCAGAGCACCGCGCACATTGCTTTTGCACGTGTCGTGATGTGCCATCGTTGTACGGAGAGGTTCAATCGAGGCGCCGCGGCGTCGATGCCGCCTTTTCCCGTTCTTGCGTTGCGTCATTTGTCGGCAGCATACTAACACGGCCTGCCAATGCCGTCGCCCTGGGATCTACCAGGTTCGGCGGCGTCGGTGGCGTAGCTCGTCTCCAGATAATCCAAATAAAATAATTTTGTTCGTGCGGGTAGGCATCGAAACTTGAAAGCACGACACTGGGGCATTTCTAGAGCCTAGCTCTCACATCACTTCTCGCTAGGGAACCAAGGGTCGTCGCACAACCGCTCAAACACAAGGTAAACGTAGGAGAACCGAACCTCTTTCTATACCCCTTTCATGGCGGCCGGAAGTGGGCCGCACATCTTATTTAATAAGAGTACAAATCCTCGTCGTTTCTCAATTGCCATCGCAGAAGTTGCCGTTTTAAGAATCTACCCCAAAACCCAATATAACTTTTCGCCATTTGGATTATGTAACAAGAAATCTAACTGAAAATGTTATTGGAAACCTGGAATCCAGTCTGGGAAATCTAAAATCCAGATAGAATCTTATAAGATTTTTTGTTCCTTAATTCAGCTAGCGAAAAGTTATATTGGGTTTTGGGGGTAGGTTATTTATCCTAAAATAACTGCTGCTTGCAGTAAATGTTTCTTTGGTTTTTGACAGCTTAAGGAAGGCTGGGCGTGGCGACTGCTGAGCATCTCATTAACGCTCCAACAGCCAATCAGATTGCGGTATTATCCAATAAGAAGGTCGAAGAACCAATTACGAGGCAAGCGTGTCATAAACCGAGCCCTGCGTTTTAAAGCTCTCAGGGACAATATATATCTTTTTTCTAGCGGCATAGAGCATTCAACACGTACAAATTGTGCAAGTGAAAATTGTTTTGTATAGTAATGTTAGAACATAACCTTTTTTATTTCTATCCCCTCCAGGCAAGGGAGATCATAAACCACTTCCTGAAAAACCTTGGCCAGATCCGTCAAATGAGCTTCGAAGAGGTTTCTTTGATGGCATTGCAGTTTGGGTGTTCAACAGCAGCGTCTGTCTCATCAAAAGATTGCGAAGTAAGCTTTATATTTAAAGTGTGGATCGTCGTTAACTTACCAGCGTGAAAAATGTTTTATCTGCCAATATGGTACGGGTGCGTGGGCATTTGATTTTTTTAATTATTAATGACCATACCCTTTATGAAGGTGTTTCGAAAGTTTTGTTTGATCTACATTCAACAATGTACCGCATTCGTACCAAATCCAATGCACGTTATCGAGAAAAAAAACAATGTAATGTAATTAAATTACTTTCGCGTTAAGCATACTCGATTTCGTCACCTGACTATTCGACTTCGAAGTTTGTACATCAGTTAGAAAAGATTTCCCTACTGCTATTTATCTGGTCACGTTCTGAAGCAACGTGATTATTCCCGCCCCCCCTCTCCCACCCCTAGCGGCTTGTCTTATTATCCCGTGCACAGTGGCGTACCAACTTGTTCTTGAGTAAGGGGGCAAACCAGACCCCCCCCCCCCCCCC